GTACATTGGCGTTTCGTGTGCAAAACCTGTTTAGAACTAAAGAGGTTGTTAACTGCCTCTACTGGGACCTTCGGGCACTAAACTCCTATTCTTGTTTCAAAGTTTATGCACGTGCTGTGCTATTACTTACTAAGTTCTAACTTCGTTCTTGATTACTTATCTCTCAAGGCTTATTTTTTATAATACACAGGCATCTCCTTGTCCTCTTTAGTTTTTTTATATGTCCTTCGACTTGTTGACTTGTTATATGTCCTTCAACTTGTGTACTCTTATTTAAAACTTAAAATCTTCATTTTCAATTATATCTTATTTAATTACTTTTATATTATTCAAATTCATAGAAGCAATGGATGAAATTTCCTCAAAAATTTCCCTTTGCTTCACTAGTGAACTGGATGTTGTCAAAGAGCCTCGACCTGTCATACCAGAAGTGATTAAACAGCATGACATTGGACTTCTAAAGTTTGGCAAGGGTACTGGAAAAGCAATTCTAACTGACTCTTTGAGAACAGAAATAATAAAGCTGAGTTTGAAGTATTTCCAGAACAGTGAGGGGCCTTTCCTACCAACAAATAACAAAGCTTGGTTCAAGAGGAAATTGGGAAGTGGTCATGGTGAGGAAGTGACTCTCTCATGGCTGGTCTGTTCCCCTTCTAAAAAGTCTGCATTTTGTATCTGTTGTCTTTTCTATTCCAGGTCAGACCATCAATTCTCATTGGAGCTGGAAAGTGGATTCAACCAGTGTAAAGCACATGAAAGGATTAGTGTTCATGAAAATGCTAAGAATCATCAGAAGTGCTTCATACAGCGGAAAGAAATTTAGCTGAAAACAGAGGATTTATTGATGCGTAACTTCAGTGACAGATTGAAAAGGAAAAGCAGAAGTGGCGTGATATCTTGACGAGAATCCTTCACTGCATAAAATTCCTTCCTTGGTTTTATCCAGATAGGACAGAAGGATGCTGAGAGCTTGGTTGAAGACATCTTGAAACAGCTAGAGAAGGACGAAATGGAGCTACAAGATTGTCAGTCACAATGCTATGACAACGCTCCTGTGATGGCTGGACACAGAAGTGGTGTTCATCAAAGAATAATTGAGAAAAACAACCTGGCAATGTTTGTGAATTGCGACAATCTCTCACTCAACTTGGTGGGTGTACATGCAGCCAAGCAGGATACAATGATGGTCGCATTTTTTGGAATCATCGAAGCTCTCTACGTGTTCTTCTCTCATTCAACACAGCACTGGGAAAAACTCAAAAATGCCGTGTGAATAGTTGTTAAGTCGCAGTCCGAAACCAGGTGGAGTGCAAATACAGAAGCATTGAAGCCCGTCAACAAGTACCTTGAGGAGATACTTCAAGTTCTCCAGAACATGATAGACAATGAAAACAAGACCAGTGAAACAAGAAATGATGCAAGGCAGCTGTATAACTGCATGTTGAGTTACAATTCTCTGAGTTTGCTAGGATTTTGTAACAAAGTATTCATTCGCATTGACTATATTCAAAAGAGGTTGCAGGATCCTAGCATGAACTTCCATGATGCTGCCCTAGATTTGAAAGCCCTCTGACATAATTTTGATGATGAAAGAGAAGTGTTGGTCAGTGAGTCACTCAAAGAAGGTCTCTGTCAAGAATGGAATATTGAGGTTGAAAAACGTCAGAGACGAAGAAACGAATGGCTGATGAGAACTCGAGAGATGCTGGGTTAACAGCCAAGTAGGAAATGGAAAGAGTCATGAAGGGAACACTCGACTGTCTTCATAGAGAAATGGATGAAAGGTTTGATCATTTGCACGACACTGATGCCAAGTTTGGGTTCCTTTTCGATGTCGAAGGACTGTGTTATGGTGCCGACAGTAACGTTCTAAAGAAGAAGTGTGAGAATTTGGGCAAATTGTACAGCTCTGATATTGATGGACAGCAGCTATATGAAGAAATTTTCGATTGCAGAATGTTGCTATCAAGTCGGGCCAACATAAAAATATCCAAACCTGAAGAGCTTCTCGACTTTATTGTTCAGTATGGAGATGAGAGAGTCTTCCCCAATCTTCGCATTGCTGTTCAGATAAGGCTAACCATTGCAGTTTCCATCGCCAGCTGTGAGAGATCATTCAGCAAGTTAAAAATAATACTTTCGTATTTGAGAGCCTCCATGGGCCAAGGCAGACTCTGTGATCTTGCTCTGCTTGGTGTAGAAAGAAAAGAAACTGAAAAAACTGCCTTTGAGCACATCATAGGCTAATTTGCATCAGTGAAAGCAAAGAAGGTGCAGTTGTAATTTTCATATAGTGCCATAATTTGTTAATTAAAAGATTAACGAACTTGGCTTGTATTTTTGGGCTGATATTATGGCAAAGTTTTTAAAAGATGGGTGTCAGATGTTTGGACAGGGGTGCAATTTCACTGCTTGCCGTAGGCGCTATTTTCCGTAGATACACCCTTGAAAGTTTCAGTTGCTGACAATAGATCTCTGCATTGACAGTTTGCTGTGAATTGAGAAGT